CAGGCCAACTGGCCGCCGGGCAGTTTCACGTTCCATAAATTGTTTCGCCGGGACTGAGGAAACCAGGCACAATTGCCAGTGGCCGACATTTTCAGTGGCTCGTAAAGCCCGGCCGGGCCCTCCGGGCCGAGGACGACTGGCCCTCCGGGGCGAGGCCGACTCTGTCCGTCCCTCGTCTGCCTGCCCCGGCCGGCGGGGTCCTGCGGGCGCAGAAGGGCTGTTCCTTCCCGTCTCACAGTCTCAGACGCGCCGGGGCTCGGAGGCCGGCCTAACGTGACAGCTGCCTGAGGCGTGAGAGAGCTCCATTCGCCGCAGCACAAAACTAACGCCGTGTGGCATCATTAACAGCCCTACACCAGTTAGAGAGCCATAAAAAGGAGTGAGAGGTTTATCTTAGGCTATCTCGGGAAGGTTGACAGCGCTGTTACATTTTGTTTTCAAGGTCTTGAAAATCATGAGAGGGTTGGCATACCTCGCCATTAAGCGAAAATGAGAAGCTGGGATGCTTAGGGTGTTTTGGGGGGAGGGTGCACGGTTACATGGCGCCACAATTCACATTGAGAACCACAATGCTAAACATATAATGTACGACAGTTTATGCCATTAATTATAGTTCGCATACAATAACAAATTGATAAAGACCAAATCAATTTATTCTGTTTTTCCTTCTAGGAATAGTCTTCTGAAAATGACTAGGTTCTCCACTGCTAGGTCCACCGGACCAAGAGCTGGTTTCGTTGGCAGTCACGGTGATTATCCAACAAGGCCAGTGACGCGCGCTCAGTCCCTCGGTCGGGTGGCTGGACCCAGCAGCCGAGCTCGACGGGGCGATGGCCGCCCGCTGTCCCTCCAACAGAGGCCCGGTGTCTCCCAGACCCGATATTAAACACCGCTAAACGTGCCATTGTCTGCGCACCGTAAGCAGAGGCGTCACCGAGACAAAACAGAGAACGATCCAAACACGAGCGCAGGTCGCGCCGGCCGCACAACTGACCCGCACATAGTGCCGCCGGGGAAATCAAAGCGGCGGCTATTTGTTTGGATATGTGCAGCTGTGCCTGCCTGCTCCGTCTCTGTTAATTATACATTATCTTATCTGCAGGGCGCCCTGCACAGCCAATAACATGCAATGGGACCGCTCTGACCGCATGACGCTGTCCAGACATTGTCTGAGCTGGACTGTCCAGACCGCCGGCACGCCGGCGCAGTAACAACCGCGCCCGTAATGAGCCGCGCTGCCGCCGTCGGCTAACCAAACAATGTAATCGGCCGGCGGGCAGCTCGTTTGGTGGCGCCGAGACCGCTGCACAGTGCACTGGCATGGCACAGAGGGGGGGGGGGGGGGGTCAACTGTCGATGCACCGGGGCGGCGACAGGCTGGCCGGCCAGCGCATAGCCAGGGCAGAATGGTGAGCATTGTCACCGGTGCAGCTCCAGGGGCATGGGGAGCGCCTATAAACACAAACTGCGCGCGGCTCCGGCCCGAGGAATTTGGGCACCCACTCCGCCCGGAAGTGAGGTCATGTCGGTTGCTAAAGAGCACACATCAGACACCGTACGCAGACAGCATTCATCCGGTGTAGCCTCAAGGAAGCACTTAGAGATAATAGTGGCCAGACCGGGATAATTTTCCGGTCGGACAAGACAAGAGCATGTGACATGAATCTTAATGCATTTATGAAGTGTTGTGGGCTACTCAACATAAGTGCAGTTCCATTGTATTTGAGGAAGCATACAGAACTTCAGCTCGAAAATGTGTATGATAGCTCGTCCAGTCACAATCCCTTATCAGACTTGCTGACACACGACCCACCTGTCCCTGTTCAGTGTCCTAGTTATGTCCCTTAGCGAGGTTTTGTCTCGTCTATCGTCTCGTAATATATACTGGAGCGGCTCGTTACTGAGCAGGGAGACACAAAGTGACCACGGTAAAATAACAACAGTGCTGCAGCCTGGTCACCGCAGGAGGACATGGCTCGTTAAATAATCACCCTGGTCCTCAGTGCAGTGGCGAGTGAGTCACCCTCTGCACAGTCCCTGCCGGACTTCTCTCCGCGAGACATCGCTGCAATCTGATGCCAATCCCCAACGTGCATTGTGCATACTCAAAGTATTATGCGTGCCTCAGCATCGGTTATAAGAAGCATATTCTGAAAGGAACATAACTATTGGTTTGCTGTACTTACTTTTGAGAATCTAAAAAATGTATGTTTAGGTAAAGCATTTGATAGTTTCCTCTCTGTCTTTCCATCAGGATATTTTTTTTTTTTTGCATCGCTCAGATGAGCCAGCTCGGACACAGGCTCTGACACGCCGGGTCACCAAAACCGCAGCTGCTCTCTCTGCACAGACAGGCGAGTTCGAAACCCCACGTCAGCGGCCTGTGTTTTCCCCGTGCGGAGCGGCGCCACGAAAACAGAGCCAGCCATCAGTTCCGTACAAATTGCTTTCCTTGGTGGAGACCACAAAGTTGGCTCCAACAGCGAAAACACGCCCCTTTTGGCCGCCGGCTGTTTAGAGGGGCAACAGACGGACTGCGATCGGACGTACCAGCTCCTCTATTCAGCGAGCTGACCCGCGGGGAACAAGGCGCGACATGGGAGGAAGCACAGAGGGCTGCACGGTGCGAGCTGCCGACACACAGACGACGTCAGAGGGCAGCTCAGCTACACCGTCCGCCGGCCGGTCGACATGTTTTCTGAGCTGCTGAGGTGGTGCCTCAGGAAGCGGTCACCGGATGGACGAGGGGTAGAATCATTTCAGCAGTGTTGTCCGATCGAGACCGGTTACTTTGAGCTCCTGTGGCCACAGAGCCGGCCGCAACAAACCAACCATCTGTGATGCTTGGCACTGAGAGCTTGGTAACACCAAACCAACTCTAATCCCACTTTACTAAGCTCTCAGTCAATGATGGATTCAATAAACAGAGAATCCCCAGCTGAAAGCGACCCCTTGGCCTGACAGGTTTTGGACGAAGATGCATTGACCACTCACTGCGCGCGCTCGAGTTTCAAAAGCTTATTTCCCGAATGTTGAGCATTTCATCAGCTCGTTGCCACGATAAGCCACGTCAGTCAGGTCGTTACCAGGTGAGGCCGTCGCTCGGTCGGTCACGGTTGTTACCGAAGGCCGTTCCTATGCGAGAGTGATGCACTCCAGTGGATAGGGATGAGAGGGGTCACGAGCTGTTCTAAGTAACAGCGCCTCTCCAGCATCTCGTCAGGTCGGACCGATCGAAATCCCAGCCTTTGGACCTCGCCATTTCGTACTCAATGGTCAGCTTCATCGTCATCAATGGTCAGCTTCATCAAAAAAAAGAAAAAAATGGTGAAACGCATTCAAGGGCAGTTCACCTGCCAGCTTATATTTCAATCGCTAGGTGGCACTGGTGGTCAACGCCTGAAGGTAGGCTGTGCCGCACGACGTGATGCGGGAAGCCGGCCGCCCGGTGTGATGAAATGTGCCGCAAGGCCATCGGGCGTCGTAGCTGCTTTTGGAAAGCAGGTTTTTATAGAAAGAGGGAAAAATTATATGTTTTAGCAGAAAGTAAGTAAGGTGACGCCTCTCCGTTCCCGGCTTTCTCCTCTATGCCCTTTTCTTGTCATAGTTTGTAATGACTGTAATCTGTACTATGTAATGTGTGCCAGGCTTGTCCTTTGGTTTCCGACGTCCTGTCCCGCTCTGGCCATCTCAGTGGACCTCGATGATTTATGCGCTGTTCCCCTGCACATGGTGCTCGTGGTCTCTGTGTCCGGTCCTCCCCATCCTCCCCTCTCCCCGCCTCCCCTGTATCTCTCTCCACACACACTGAATACGTCCGGTCAACAATAAATATTCAGGCCCAGATCGGCTGCTCTATTATTGTGCCAATGGGGTATTCTGGCGCTGCGCTCCGTCCGCACACAATGCTGCATGACAAATTAGTGTGTCGCCCCCGGGGGTGCCGGCGGGCCCCGCCGCACTCTCGGCCGGGGAGGGGGGAGGGGGAGGGGTCAGTCCGGCCCTCTCAGCACACCGCCGGCCGCGGACACACTGATGACGTCACTGGGTCCCGCCCCGTCCATAGATCACCGCACTGACACCCACTTTGTCGGCGCACAATAACACTGACAGCGTCTGTCCAGCGGCCACAATCAGACTAATACCCGCCAATGGAACCACGCGCCCGGCCCAGGACGTAATGGAAACACAGACACTGCCGCACTGGCCACAGTGGGGCATGGAACAACGAATAGATATAACAGACAATTATTTACATGCTCTGTACAATCATGATAATCCGTGTCCATAGCCGAGGCGCTGTAGTTACTCTGGAGGTAATAAATATGTTATGCTGCATCAATCATGTTTCCCTCCTTCCCCTCCCTCTAGCTACCCCATACCCCTCTCTCTCTCTCTCTCTCTCTCTCTCTCTCTCTCTCTCTCACTTTCTTGATTTTTCTTTTTTCTTGCTTTTTTTCTTTCTTTCTTTCTTTCTTTCTTTCTATTTCCCCACTTCTCTTCCTCCATTTGTTATTCTCGTTATGTTACTTTAGCAGCAGCGCCTGCCTCATTTTACCTCATCTACCCCAATCCCAGCCATCCCGCCCATATCACCGCCTATCCTGCCTACATCACACCTCCCACCATCTCCAGAATCCATCATCAGTCCCTCTAACAAACACTCCAGCACTCCCTGCACCATCGGTCGACTCCTCCGCTTCGGTCACTGTAACTTGCGGGCGGCTTCTGACCGCTCCCGGCGGGGGAGGAGGCGGGGGCGGGCATTGTTTGGTCTTCCGGGACTAGCCAGTCGAGTCGCTGATTTATGCTGATTATTATGGTAGTACATGACAATACAGATGTGTTGATGACGGTGGCAGGCCCCAGAGAGGGGGAACGAGCGAGCGACCAGGCCCAGGGGAGCTGAGAGTGAGAGAACAGCGACGGAGAGGGAGAGCGGCACGGTACGGTCACTGCGGGAGAGAGAGACGGGGAGTGTTCTGGCTCACAAAAGAAGATTCAGTGCTGACTACAGGTATATTCTAATGTTCGCCCAATGGTGGTTACGTAAAAACTGAAAATACACAAAAATAACACAATCAGTCGAGTAAACACATGAGATACTACAATCATGGCGCTCATTCATAAAAAGCACACAAAATATCACAGCCAAAGTTACGATAAATAAATATAAATCAGTAACAAAAGAATGTAGTAACACAACAATACATTATTTAGGTCATAACTGAACCATAAATATCAAATAAATCATAACATACTCTTTCCTCTCTTTCTGTCTGGCGCGGTCCACGTGTATCAGTATCGGGCATCACCCATTACGGCGGCGCCCAGCTCCGCGCCGACTCTCGCCCAGCGCCGCGCCGACTCTCGCCGCCGCCACGACGACGATCACCGCAACCAAATAATATCGAGTCGCGGGCACATGGCTCCCCCAAATTTGGGACATTCAACCAAATTTGTCCTTCTGGCTCCCTTGACGGGGAATCTTGCGCTCAATTCATCACAGTACCATAAGCACACGTGATCACCTGCCGGGTCCGTAGCCCGACAGTGCACCGAGCAGTCACACGATAGTGCACGGGGCAAAGTCACGCCGCAGTGAACGGGGCAAAGTCACTCGGTGGTGCACAGAGCAGTCACTCGGCGGTGCACGGAACAGTCACTCGGCGGTGCACGGAACAGTCACCCGGCGGTGCACGGAACAGTCACTCGGCGGTGCACGGAACAGTCACTCGGCGGTGCACGGAACAGTCACTCGGCGGTGCACAGTCACTCGGCGGTGCACGTAGCCGAGCCTCCAGGTGCCGCACGGAGCAGGGTCACCAGCCGGTGAACCGGTCTTCTGTGCTCCGAGCCGTTCATCAGGACGCGCACCTTGCGTACCAGGCCGTCACTGCCCGGATACGTGTTGACGACTCGCGCCAACGGCCACTGAGAGCGTGGGCGCTCGTCATCCATGACGAGGACAACGTCACCGACCTCGACGTTCTCCGTCGTTTTCGTCCACTTGCGGCGCTCCTGCGCAGCGAGGACGACCTCTTTCCTCCAGCGGTTCCAGAAGACGTTCGCGAGATGCTGAACTCGCCTCCACCGCTGGCGGGCGTACACGTCCGCCGTCGCGAACCTACCAGGAAAAGGTAAGATTACTCTACACTTCTGGGTCAGAAGGGAACTCGGGCTGAGAGCCTCGAGCTGGTTAGTTGGGGACATGTCAGCTATGGAGATGGGACGGCTGTTAAGGATGTCCTCAACCTCGCACATCAACGTTCGCAACAGCTCATCGTCCAGCTGTTCTCCATTCGCGACCAACAGGCTGGTCAGAACTGACCGAGCGCAGCGTATCAGTCGCTCCCAAACCCCACCCATGTGGCTGGCGTGGGGAGGGTTAAACGTGAAGTTGATGAAGTCGCACTGGTCCTTCAGTAGACTGTTCTTGATCTTCTCTTCATCCATCTCAGCGAGAGCAGCCTTCAACGCGTTCTGACCTCCCACAAAGTTCGTGCCGTTGTCGCAGAAGAGACCTCTCACGGGACCTCTTCTGCACACAAATCTTCGGTACGCATTCAGGAATGCGTCGGTTGTCATCGAGTTCAGTGTCTCCAGGTGTACGGCTCTGGAGGCGAGGCAGATGAAGACAATGCCCCACCTCTTTAGTTGACTTCGTCGTTCTTTCACGTAGAACGGGCCGAAGCAGTCCATGCCACAGTAGGTGAAAGGAGGTGACGGCTCAAGGCGCTCGACTGGCAGATCAGCCATTTTCTGTTCCCCGGGGGGACCACGTAGCTTTCTGCACGTCACGCAGCTGTTGATGTAACTGGAGACGGCAGAGCGTCCGTGCAGGATCCAGTAGCCCTGCTGCCGAAGTTCGCCGAGAGTCATCTCTCTTCCTGCGTGTCCCGTCCTCTCGTGACACTGACGAATGATCAATGTACCGACATGGCTCTTCTTTGGGAGAATCACTGGATTCGTGACTTCTCTTGGCAGGTTTGCGCGTCTGATTCCGCCTCCGACGCAGAGAATTCCACTTCTCGTCAGAGGATCCAGCTTCTTCAGACTGCTCTTCTCCCGCGGATCGGGATGGCTGCTTCGGCCACTCCCATCTTCTGTGCACGACTTCTTGATGGAGGCATCAGCTCCACTTTGGCGACGCAGTTCGTCGGCAAACGCTTCCTTTTGCAGTGCCTTGACGATCACGGTTTCAGCCTCGACCAGATCTTGGACCGTCAATTGTTCGTTCGTCATTTCACTGCACTCTTCACCGCGTCTTCTTCTGCACGCTTCCTTGAGTTTCCTTATGTATCTTCGGCAGTTCGCCACCGCAGTCTTGGCAGCAAACCAAGTCGAGAAGCGTTCCAGCCGTTGCAGCAGCGTCGCGTGTTCTGTGGCTGGTTCACTGCTCGTCATCATGGTCACTCCTTTCTTCACTTCAGGATCTTGTTGATCGACAACGTCTTCGTTATCTTCGAGAGGCAGATCCGTTTGACACGACAAGAATGGAGGGCCGTGCCACCACAGGTCGTTTTCGATGAGCTCTTCGATCAGACAGCCCCGTGAGGCTAGATCACTTGGGTTCTGCTCTGATGGGACAAAGTGCCACTGACTCGGTGTCGTGCGATTCAGGATCGTCTGCACTCTGTTGGCGACATACACATGAAACCTGCGCACGTTGTTCCGTATGTATCCAAGAACCACGCGACTGTCGCACCAATAGTGATGCTGGATCGGGGATATGTTCAGATTTTGCTGCAGAAACTCACCGACTTCTGTCGCCAGCACTGCTGCTGCGAGTTCCAAGCGTGGAACTGTGACGGTCTTCTTCGGCGTCACCCTGGCCTTCGACAGCACGAGATCCGAGGACACTTCACCATCCTTGATGACGCGTAGGTAGCTACAGGTTCCGTATCCTGCTGTGGACGCATCAGAGAAGTGATGAAGCTCGAAAGTTGCAGGCGAGCCGTCAGAGTCGAGTATCGAGCCGTACTGTCTTGGGATCTTCACTTTAGACAGATCTGGTAGCGCCGCCTTCCAAGTCAGCCACTGCTCCTTCAGCTCCTCGGGAACCGGGTCATCCCAGGAGCAATCACGTCCACAGAGCTCCTTGACGATCATCTTTCCTTTAAGAATCACTGGCGAGATGAGTCCAAGTGGGTCGTACAGGGAACTCACCCCTGAAAGGATGCCTCGCCTGGTGGCAGGCCGATCAAGGAGCTCTGCTCGGAACTGAATGGTATCAGAACCAAGGTCCCATCTGACACCCAGTGCCTGTTCACACACCTGGGAGTTCCCCTCGAACGTCAAACCCACCAGCGTCTTAGATCTCGAATAGATTGGGACAGTTTGCATGACATCAAAGTCGTTGCAGGCGAACTTCGTGAGTTTAAACCCACCTTCGGCGCACAGATCGGTCGTCTTCTCGATCAGAGTCGCTGCAGTACCAGCATCTGGCGTCGAAGTCAGTCCGTCGTCGACGTAGAAGTCGTTCTTGACGAAGTTGGCTGCTTCTTTCCCATACTTGGGCTCATAGAGCTCGGCAGTCAGATTCAGTGCGTGCATCGCGCACGCGGGTGAGGAGACGGCTCCGAAGAGGTGTGTCGTCATCCTGTAACAGACTGCTTCCTGGTTGACGTCGTCTCTTGGCCACCAGAGGAACCTGAGCAGGTTCCTGTCACTTGCAGTAACCGCGACGCGGTTAAACATGGCTTCTATGTCACATGTCAGAGCCACAGGTTCCTTTCGGAATCTTGCCAGGATCCCGACGAGGTTGTTTGACACGTTTGGGCCTTGAAGTAGCTCGTGGTTTAGACATCGTCCACGAAACTCCACACTGCAGTCGAAGACTACTCGTAGTTTCCCTTTCTTCGGCTGGACGACGCCGTGATGGGGAACATACCACACTCGTCCGTCATTAGCTTCCAGTTCAGCTTGCGGGACGGGCTCGGCATAGCCCTTATCCAACAAGTCGTTGATTGCTGTGATGTAGGCTTCCTTGTAGCTGCTGTCCTTCAACAGCTTCCTCTTCAGGGACTGAAGTCGAGCCTGAGCCTGGTGAAAGTTGTCTGGAAGAGACATGTTCTGATCTCTGAGGGGGAGGGGAGCTTCAAAGCGGCCGTCTGGACGCTGGTGCATGCTTGTCTTCATGATCTCGATGAACTGCAGGTCATCTTGTGACACCATCGTTCCCCCTGGCTGTGAAGTGAAGTCAGAGTCGAAGAGTCTGGCCAGCTGCTCAGGAGGTACCTCACGAGCACGGACTCGGAACGCGAAGTGTCGAACTCCCTCCTGTTCGGCTCGACCAGTCACGTAGAGACACGCTGCACCGGCACCGTTGGATGGCTGACCCATGAATCCGATCACACTCCATCCGAGGCTGGTGCGAATCGCCCAGGGGTCATTGTCGCCACCGGTGACCACTTCGAGTGGCTTCAGAGCTCTGGGGCAGTTGATGCCGATCAGTATTCCCACTTCAGCGTCGGGGACGTACTCCGGCAGCTGTCCGGCCACCTCCTGCAGATGGGGCCATTCAGCTGTTGTGTCGTGTCTCGGGATCAGTTGGCGCTCAGCAGGGATGTCCGCCTTGGAGTACGTAGGAGGTAGCTCGAACTCTGTCTCGCCCTTGTGATCCTTCACCACCAGACCATGTACGACCTGGCTCTGTGTCCTGGTCCTGCCTGCGATCGTGCTCACCTCGAGGGTGACGTCCTCACCGCGCAGATCCAACTCCTGTAGCACAGACTCTTTCACAAAACATGTGTCAGATTGAGGATCGAGCAGTGCGTACACGGTCATGCTTCTGTGGGGAAGATCTCGGTGTGTCAGGTTCACAGGTACCAGCATGGAGTGAGTACACTTGGGAGACTCAGCTACCTTGTCACAGGACACATGGAGGGATACCGCAGCACTAGTCTGGGTGCCTTGGGTTGTTGTCTTGTCCACTCTGAGGGAAAGAGAATCGTCATGGAGCAGGGTAGGGTGCAGCCTGCTACACTTTGTGCATCGCTGTTTCCTTCGACACTCCTTCCATCTGTGCCCCTTCCTTAGGCACCCTCCGCAGAGACCATGCTGTCGGACCAGCTCCTGTCTGCCCTTCAGGGACATCTTGGTGAATGTCGAGCAACGGTCCAGCGGATGATCATTCTTGCATACCACACAGTGGTGCTGCTGATTCACCCGGCCGCTTGCTCTGCTGTCTTGAGGCTTCTGATCGGTTGGTGCAGAAGTGAGGAGAACTCGTGCATTTCTTTGCTTCGGTTGCACTCGCTTGTCTTCCTCACCACTTCTGGGTAGCACTGGACCAGAGGCCACCCTGGCCTCTCTGCTCATGAACTGCACAAAGTGTGCGAACGGTGGGTACTGCGAGACAGCACCTTCTTCGGGTTCATAGATCCACCTGTCAACGATTCTTCTCCAGCTGTCAGACAGGTATCTGGGCAACTTCTTGAGGATGGCATCAATCTCTGATGGACCACCGAACATCTTCACATCACCCATTGCATTCGAACTGGCCAGACAAAGCTCTAGAAAGTCTGAAAGCTCAGTGAATGACTTACTATCACCAGCTCGCACATCTGGCCATCTCTGAAGGCGCCTCTTCATCTCATTCATAGTGACAAATGCATTGCCATACCTGTCGGTGAGGCGCTTCTTGGCTTGCTGGTAGGCATCAGCCGTTCCCATCTGCAGGAAGCCAGTGATCGCGTTCCTTGCTTCTCCAGCTGTGTAGTAGCCCAGGTAGTGTAATCTTTCGCTGGATGAAGAGCATCTGGTCTCAATGTACGTCTCGAAGGCGTTCAGCCAGATGCGGAAGGTGGTGTGATCGCCTTTGAACACACCTGGTTCCGTAGGAGGTAGCTGACATCTCTGCGCCTGTATGGAAAGAATGTCAGCCAGAGTAGCAGCAGTAACTGGTGTTGGAGCAGACTCAGTGGACTGAGGGTGAGCAGGGGCAGGAGCCTGACAATGGGCGGAAATGGGTACAGTAGGCGGTGGCACAGCATAATCAGTCATGTCATTAACAGCTTCATGACAGTCAGTAGGTTGTGCATCAGTGTCCACCCGTTTCGTCCCATGTGACTCCATCTCCATCATGTCAGCCGCCTGCTGTCTTGGTGACATCATCAACGATTCAACTTGCTGCTCCATCCTTTCAATCACCTCTTCTTTTGCTTTATGAATCCTTCTTTCTGTTTCTATTTGATGCTTTTCTTCTTTCCACTTCAGCTCTTGCATCTTGGACTCCATGATCTTTATCTCCCTTTCCAATTCCTGTCTTTCTTCCAGTGCATCAGCTTTTGCTTTCATCTCAGCTGCCTGAGTGTTCTCTTGAACCTTCATCATGAAAAGCTGGGCTTTCATGCCAGTACTCGAAGATGATCTGCTTGTCTGGGTTACCGACGAGCGTGCTCCCCGACTCTTCTTGTTCTGTTTGCACGTCGGTTCTTGTGGTGTCAACGACTCAATCATTGCTCTTGTGGTGTCCAGTTTGATGAGTCTGTCATCATACATCAATCTGTGAGCTTCAAATTCAGCTCCCAACAAGGAGCGCAGATCTTCATGGGTCTGACGAAGCATCACGTAGTTGTGCCTCCATTTGGCAATCCTCTTGGTCATTTTTTCTTCATCCTGCTCATCGTCATCTTGGCTTGTGAGGTCATCAACCAGGGACGTGCCTTCCTTTTCCAGTTTTCCCAACATCTGCTTGAACACTTTGACCTTCATGGTGGTTTGGTACTCTCTACCTTTCTCAGTCAGCCGCAATTCATGTGATGACCTCGTGTCTGGCCCACAGTCATCAGTACCCTTCTCCGAATCAGCCATGGTGACAATGCGGGTTGAGAACTCAGGACAGTTGTAAATTGGGCAAGGATGAAAATGTATGGATTCAATTCATGAAGTTAGTATGGGCAGTATTATCATGAGATATCAACTACACCAAATCTACGAAACATAGGTAGGTAGAATCTACGAGTTGCATTGTGGAATGGCATATTCTATCTACAAAGTAATGTGGCACATCCATCATGGAAAGTCATTGTCATTCAATCTACTTTTCACTATTTTACTGAGCCACAAGGAAGAAACATTTCACTGTGCCACGAAGGGGAAAGACTTTTACTGCCACGCTAAAGAGAGAAAGATTTTTACTGCCACGCAAAAGAGAGGAAGATTTTTACTGTTCTGGCTCACAAAAGAAGATTCAGTGCTGACTACAGGTATATTCTAATGTTCGCCCAATGGTGGTTACGTAAAAACTGAAAATACACAAAAATAACACAATCAGTCGAGTAAACACATGAGATACTACAATCATGGCGCTCATTCATAAAAAGCACACAAAATATCACAGCCAAAGTTACGATAAATAAATATAAATCAGTAACAAAAGAATGTAGTAACACAACAATACATTATTTAGGTCATAACTGAACCATAAATATCAAATAAATCATAACATACTCTTTCCTCTCTTTCTGTCTGGCGCGGTCCACGTGTATCAGTATCGGGCATCACCCATTACGGCGGCGCCCAGCTCCGCGCCGACTCTCGCCCAGCGCCGCGCCGACTCTCGCCGCCGCCACGACGACGATCACCGCAACCAAATAATATCGAGTCGCGGGCACAGGGAGAGAGACGTGGTTGGAGCAGAGGAAAGCATAATAAGTTGGGAAACATAAGGGAGACAGAGTACCTAAGTAAACAAAGTAAGAGACGGTGGCATGGAAAGAAATGATCAGGGAGAAGGGAAGGGATGTGCTTAACAAACGCGAGGGATAGATGAGAGAGAGAGAGAGAGAGAGAGAGAGAGAGAGAGAGAGAGAGAGAGAGAGAGAGAGAGAGAGAGAGAGAGAGAGAGAGAAAGAGAGACAGAGAAAGAGAGAGAGGGAGAGAGCTTGGAAGAGAAATGGAGGAAAAGAAGACAGAGCAGACAAAAGGAGAAGGAAAGGACGAGAGAGGGGCAATCAGATGACTAGCAGTAGGACAATCGAAGATAAAAGCGCTAGGACAGCCTAAAGAGCGGAAAGATGCACAAAGGACCTGGGAATGGGGATTTCCGGGGATGAGAGTGCACGACAAAAGAGAATGGGAAAGACGGCCGGACAGAAGAGCCATGTGAAAAAGAAACAATTTGATAACAGCTGGCGGCCATAGAACTGGAGCACAGTTTATCATCCACTCAGCTGGTTCAGTGGCCCCAAAGCATGACCGTTTTGCTCATGCTTTGCTCGGTAGCTATTTTTTTATAGGATGGCTCCAAACCCTGAAGAAAAAATTTGCGGTTCGTGGCGTTGACTCGTCGAATTCGTATTCCTTACAAGTATTTGTTCTTGAAGTCGCACGTCGTCAGTGCGAGTCCAATATCAGCAACACACCATCGGGCAACAAACAGGCAGTGTACGCTAATGGCCCATCCAGGGCGCCGCCACTTAGCGCCGTCAGCAGCCGCCTGTCAGCGCGAACCACAGTCACCGGTCCCGACCTATTAACATATACCGGTGAACCAGCCTCTGACACGCGACAGTACGACACGATTTCAGCTCAAAGGCCGCTGCCTCGCCAGCGATGAATAATAACTGCTACATATGCTAATCCTGATAGCATGAAGGTTCAGTCATGCGAGAACTCTGTCTTTAATATCGCTCCTTGCCAATTGCAAGTCATGGAGATGATATTCAGGCTGTCACCGATGCGGTCGCGTTCGCATAGATCACAGAAGCCAGTCAGACTCGATCTGTACCGGGTCATTTGATGGCGGTATCAATCGGAAGCCGAGGCTGTCTGCACCGCGAACCGGGGACGTTCTGGTTACGAATTCCCCCTCGTCCCTCCAGCGCAGCCCGCGGTAGACATGAACAGGGTTTGGCCTCCCGATCGGGGCGGTTTATAGCCGGCGCGTCAACAATTAATGGTGGCTTTATTGTGGCGCACTATGAAGGCCGGGCACCGGACAGGCTGGGGCCATCACACAGCTCCCATCGGAGACAGACGCAGCTCCCACGGCGGTAAAAAGGCCGCCTCAAACGGCCGCCGCTTTAAACGAATTATTGGACGGCTGGGGTGAGAGAGGCTCCCCGTTTTGCGGTGCAGCGGGACAATAGCGGCGCATCGAGCACAAATTGGAACAGTCTGTGGATGGGAGCTGAGCCGAGAACAGCCTGTGGGCGGTGATTGAGCGCACTGAACACGGCCTCACAGGCGGGCGTGCTGGTCTCTGTCTTCTTGTCGTGTTTCAGGAGTACGGTCAATGTCATGCTATAGAAAGAAGCGAGACACACAGCGGGTGCCTAATCACTGGTATATTTCTTCGAAATATTACTGCAAAATAAGCAAAAAGAAAAAATATACGCAGATGTTGAATAAACCAGATATAGAAATGAAATATAATGGGATTTTTACGTTATAAAAATTCCTACTGATCTGAACACGCGTCACGGGCAGCGGTTCGGTTCCCAGGGCTCAGCCAGCTAACGGTGATGCTCCGTTCCGTCCGTCCTGCGCCCGCCGTGTGCCAGACGAGACCTGCCTGGGACAGCCCCAGCCCCGCCAGGTTTGACAACGGAAACAATCTGACTGGGCGACATTACAAATGGCGTCTGAGCCGCAGCCGCAGCCGGCAGCTAAGGAAAATAGTGACGATCACGAAGCTGCGTCGACCGACAAAGCGCCGACAAATCTTTTGACTGAGTCTGGCCGATTTATCAGGATTACCGGTCGACGGTGACCATTTATCACGAGGCTGTGCACGTCAGGTGTGCCCAATGCGCCGACGACGACGCCCGTGAAAGCCGCCGATCTGCCGCGCCGCCACTGCGTGAAAAATCCACCGTCGCTGCCGCCGCCGCCGTCGGCAGAGGCGCAGTAACGCCCAGCTCGGAATAATATTTGTATTGTGCACCGGGTGGAACGGGCGGGGCTAGTCCACTTTATTGCCGATAGATGTCAGCTGCATCGCGCGAGCCCAGGCTCAATTAGCTCGGCATGGTGAAAAACGCACCTCTAAATGAGGACATCAGTTTGACTGAATTGCCAATCCCGTGATTTAGATTGTGCATAACGTACTGCAAAGCAAAGAGCAGCGCTCTTTATTGCAGCGTATGTTTCAATTATCTTTGACGTCTATCACCTTCTGTGCACCTTATAGAAAATGAAAAGAATCTCCTTTGAGCTGAAAGAATAACTTTGTTTATATCGGGCTTGAGTTTAAAGGGACCCTCCCACCTTAACATTAGATTTGAGTTGAGATAGCCAAAATGGGGTCCCTGGCTCACAATTACCGATTTCGGCACTCACAACATCGAGAAATGCCTTAAATCGGAAATATTGAATTTCAAAATTGCAGCATTTTCATTCAGAGGGGCTAATGCTTAGGAATACCCCTCTGAATGTGTGACGTCAGCGCAGATATCAAACGATTTTTAAATGTTTGACTAAAACGTTTTGTAGCACGCGGTGGTATATGCTATTTGCGCGCAACATCTGCCGCAAACGCCGCACTTCTAAAATAAAGTCGCTAGAAACAGCGGAGATCCCAAAAAGGTAAACAAAAGTAAAAGTCAAATATCTTGAAAACCGGTGAATATTTTTTGGTGAAATTTGGTAGATATTCGCTTTCGCTCTTTCTGAACCGAGCGACATCACTTTCATGCCAATTCATAAACTTTTTTGAAGGTGGGAGGGTCCCTTTAAGCAGGCTCTAAAGCATTCACGAACCTTCCGTCCATTTTGTAGCTAGCACATTAAACGAAATGGTGCACAAGTCCAATTTCATTTTCCCATGCACGAACGATAACTTTGACGGAGGGATGTGTTTTGTCTCCGTACATTGTAACAAAAAGAAAAAAGATTAGAAAGAAATACAGTGCATCATAAAGGTCTAAAAGTTAACACAAATATATGCCTTATGGTCTGCCACCACACATTTGTTATTGTGTGATTGTTACATGTGTGACCCAGGCCAGAATCGGAGCGGGTGGCGAAAGGCGGAGGCTCAACAGAGGCAGCGGTGACCCAGTTCAACTAGGTCACAGAGAGCAAAGTGAATTGAAGAAGCATTGAAGAATGCTGTGCCCCGATTAGAACACCACCTTCCCAGAGCTGAACAGCACCCTAAACAAGGCGCCCGTGCAGCGTGGAGCCTTTGATCCATCCCTGCCCGGTAGCAGTCGTTTGCACTACCGCTCAGGTGAATCACTGATCACAGGTCAGTGAGTAGAACACAGTCCTTGTTCGTGTCAGTCGGCCGGTCGGCAACTTACCATCCGCAACAGTGACCCCGTTCTGAGCTACAACTGTGCGTCACAATCTTCCTATTTTGGTCCACACCAGCCCGCGCTAGCCCATGTCTCAGTGATCAGTCCTCACCACTGCACTGGTGTTATACCCACAAGGGCCGCCACCTCCACTGGACACTCCTCGACGCAGACTGACCCTGAATCACTACCCCGCATGGGAGGACCGACGGGCCGCCCCACAGTCGCACAGACCGACTGGGCCGCTCCAGCGGCGGTGACGGCCCGTCGCCCTGTCAGTCCTTCGCGTCGGCCCGTCAGTCCGTCGGCCCGTCGGTTCGTCCGTCGGTCCCTCCCCTCCCCTCCCCTCCCCACGGCCGTTGTCTCACCATGTGCGCGCCCCACTCCCCGTGGGAACAATGCTCGTCTATCTGGGCGGGCCGAGTTGGGCTGTTTGCACAGATGCCTTCAGGGCCGCCGGAGGGGGACGGGGAGGGAGGGGAGGGTGACACCGGAGAGGTCTCGTTACCGGCTTTGTCGTCGGGCTTTGTTGTCCCACCAGCACGACACACGGCCATTGTTTCTGCCCGTGTCGCCGGCAGGTCCGGGCTGCCGACGGGGAGGGAGAGGGAGCAGAGTGTCGGTACCGACGACATACAGCGGAGGTGAGACGGCGTCTTTAGAGGGTCCCTGTTTTGGCTTGAACATTGTTTGCTCAAGCCAAAACAGCATTGTTTGAGCCTGAATAACACCTCATAGTGAGCCAGGGGTTCAAGCCCATCAAAATATATTTCATATCGTGCGACAACTCAACAGTTGCGCGACTGCACTTTTCCTCTGTTTTAATTGTGATTCCTCAGAGCGCAAAGAAAGAATTCACCCACCTTCACCGGAACAAAGGCACAAACTTTTGGCTTGTTAGCACCGGCATTTAGAACAGCCCAGTGCGCGAATTCAACAGCAGGGCTGTGTCCATTGTGGCTGCGAGCGACGGCGCTCTCGAGGGTGTCTTGGAGCGACTCCATGTGGTATGAATGGTGCGAGAAACGCGGGGAGGGAGGGCATTACTGAGGAATTGCTGTGGAGTGTGAACTGTGTCTTCCTCAGCTCCCCTACGACGGCAGGCGGAACAAAACGACGGGGGAACGGTCGCCCGGGTCGAAGAACCGCGGGTCATCAAATGGACCACGGGCAATCGAATAAACGGACCGCAAACTGGCGGACCCACGCAACGGCGGCGACGCGACGGGGTGGCTCCTGGCAGTCGCAGGGCCCTCGATATTCCGCTGCTCGACGGGCCGGCCTCTGAAGCTGTCGGTCCCTCCCTCCATCCCTCCCCTCGGGCGTGAGAACGTCACGAACTAACGAACCGCGCGCTCCGATACAGAA